CGAATATGACAATTTAAATGAAATGAGTTATCTATTTAGCAATATAGAACAATCGAAGTTAAAAGTTTTAATGATTCGCATTTATAAGCAAATTATATCGGAAAATGAAACTATGTCAAGATGTGTACAGAACATTAAATTACTTATAACTATAACTATAAGATATAATTGAAATACATAAACAATTATATATATATATATATAATTGCAATATATAATAATTGCAATTATATATTATATAATTTCATTTTGACGTTCATTTCCACTTTGACTTCGAATTTAACTTTCACTTTAAATTTTCCAATGAAAATAGCTGTATATTTTTGGAGTGAAATTTAATTTTATAAAATAATAAATACTACATATTTTCAATTTATTTTTTGATATATTTAATATGATTTGTTAAACCTATAATATTAAATATAATTTTGTGTAAAAATATAGAAATAATTTTTTAGTTCTTTTTAACAATTTATTAAATGACTTTTACTAAATTGGAATAAAGAAAAAACTATAATTTTACGCTTATGAGAGACAGTAGTCGTTTAAAATCCATCACATATGGTAGGTAAATATGTCCCCGTTCGATTTGCCTGATCGGCTTTCGATTGACTTATTTTCGTCGCGTGAACAGAATTCACGGTCTCTCGGGAAAAAAAGAGATGGGATTTAATAATAAAAATATCTCTGGTAAGGGTTTTTTTTGTTAGCAGAAGAGGGATTGAATTATTATCCATTCTGTTTATTGTCATGAGAAAACCTTCCAATTTCACTTCCTTCGGCAAAAGCGGAAAGGATTTTTTAAATAAGCGCGAAGTATATATATATATATATATATATATATATATATATATATATATATATATATATATGAATAAAAGGGGATTTAATTAGATTAAATTATTTGTCGCTTTCTCACAAAAAATCTTCTGAATTTTCAGTCTATTGTTATAATTTTATACCAATTTGATAAGCGAATAGAAAATAATGTCCATACTCGTGTGAGGCTTTAGAATAAAATATTTTTCTGTATCCCCTACCCGAAAGTACGGACTTCCCTGTCGGTAATCGTTCAGGGAAGAACGGCTTTTGTGGCCGGCCAGAAACAACGTGCGCTCTGATTGGCTACGAGACTTTAAAGGCTTGATGGCATAGCAACCACATAGCAACGCTTATTTCATGGCCTGTTTTGTGTCAAGTGCGGTAAATAACCACAAAAATAAGCAACCTAAGTTAAAAAAAAGTGACAAATCATGTATAAATAAGATGTACTTGTGTAAGTGTTATTGTACTTTCTCCTTCTTTTTAAATGTCTAAACTGAAAATCTTTCACTTTCATCCACTATTATAAAGTAAACAAAAATTTTCAAAGGTTAACTATATATACACAAAGACACAACACAGGTGATTATATGCCTTATGGTTAATAAACTAAATTCCATATGCCAAATTATTATTCGTGCATTGGATTTTTGTGCGTTTTATTTATATTTTTCATATAATTTTGACGCCCGCCCCGACCAGCAAAACCTCGGCTTCGCCTCGGCTTTGCAAAAGTCGGGCGGGCTACCTGTCATCTGTAACTATAAGCCTTCTGCTACAAGCTTCGCTACGTGGCCGGGAGGGCGCGCTGACGCGAGCCACAGCAGTAGACACATGGTTAATGCCATTTTATTAAAAAATAATAATTATTAAACGTACTTTCGAGTGGGGATAAAGAAAAATTGTATACGACACACGGCCAAAAAGTTTGATGCCCTGCTGAGCGTGATATAATGCTGACTCTACATTGGCTGCGCAAACGTGTACGTGAACGTGAACGTGCTGACGTCACCCATTTGAATAACATTGTGACGTCAGCACGTTCACGTTCACGTACACGTTTGCGCAGCCAATGTAGAGTCAGCATAAGGCCGAGGCGAAGCCGAGGCCTTATATTTCACGCCCGCCAGGAAATCCAACTTTCTGGCCTAGTATCGTAATATACTATACAAATATCCTGAAAGTAGTATGCATATTATGTTCGTGGAGTAATAATATACCTTATAATTAGAGTGTACATATACGTATACTTAAATACTTCAAAATAATTCAAAATATTTTATTCAGTATACACGCAATATTGCGTAAATAACTTAACTGTTTTCATTTATATTTTAATTTCCACCCACACGAATTCTTAATTTCACTCTTTTTTACTTTCAATCATCGCCACACTGAGAAAAAAGCACTATTGATTCAATAGTGCCGATGCTATTGAAATGAATTTTTTTGAAACAATAACATATTTTTTGAATAAAATTAAAATATATTAAAATAGAACAATTCATGATTTTAAACTAAAAGCCTAATGTTTTCTATGGAAACATTTTTAGTAGTTGGGATGAAAGTAGAATTTATTTTATCAAAGAAACATTATTTAATTTTAAATAAATGTACTCATTTATTAAATTAAAAAGTTGTTGTATTAATAAATAGTGTTTTTAATTTATATAAAAGTATATTTGAAACAATACAAGTTGCTTTCGATTCAATAGCACATGCTGTTGTTATAATAAACGACATATTCACATACGTTCAAATGCAGATGCAATAAAATTGACAGTATACGTATAGTTGAATCATAGAACCATTTATTCAATTATGTGGAATTAGAAATTTTTGTACTAAAATGCATTCTTTAACCAGAAATCACATTCCTATGATTTATTTTAATATAAATTATATTTTTCAAAAATTAATTTTCGTTAATTTATTAATTTTTAATTAGTAAATAATATTTAAGAATTCAATATTTTAATAATAACCTTTTTTGAGCTTTTACATACTTCTTCAATAATATGTTACAATATTATTTTGATGATTTTTTTAAGTATTTTGTTCAATTAAAAAAACTATAATTCAAAAATTTCAATGATAACTTTCTAAATTAGTTCGCCATTTGCGTCAGCCAATAAGATCGCTTGAGCACAAGAAAATTTTGCCTGTACCGTATGAGAAAGATTTTTTTTTCTTTTACAAATTGTTGAGTTTCATAGTGGTTAGGGTCTCGCGCTTGCGTCCGGCAAACCCGGGTTCGATTCACCGTCCGTACAAATTTATTTTCAAAAATGTACTGTATTAGGTTTTCGAAATATGTGACAAGTGTTATAAAGTTCGACTCTAAGTTAAAAATTCGAAGTGTGTGCGATGTGTGAAAATGTTTAGAAAAGAGTAAATTTAAAGATATGTTCTTGATATGAAAATTAGGATACATGAATTGTTTGGTAAATAATTTTTTCAAAAATATTAGCATAATACTATTGACTTAAAGTAAAATAGAAATTAATTCAATAAAATCTGTAATATCATTTATTGTGTATACTTTGAATTGAATAGCATGGCATCTTCACTTCAAATATTCTTCAAATCAAACGCACAAAATATGCTATGTTAACAAGAGTGCATGCTATTAAATCTATGGCGTAAGAATTTATATAGCATATGCTATTGAATGAGTAGCGAATGTCTTCGAACGATATTGAATATGCCGTTTGATGCGACAAACTAATATTTTATTGATTCAATAGCATTTTTTTCTCAGTGCACTGATTATAATTTTTACTGATATTTTCACTTTCACTTTTACTTCCATTGATTCTACTTTTCATTCTTATTCTCATTTTCACTTCTACTGATTCTTATTTTCACACTTAACTAGATATTAATTTACTAGCTAAAGCCACTAGCTAAACTTATTAACTATATACATACTACCTAGTTACTATATCTATTAGATACTTACTGCCTAGTTACCAGCCCAGGTGGAAAAGTTCCCGGTAGTGACTACCGGCAGTAACTACCGGCTATTTGTACAGCCACTACCGTTAATCGTTACCGGTAGTTACTACCAGTATTCGCCTACCGGTAGTGACTGAAGTGGTGGCGGTACCGGTAGCCACTACCGGGAACTTTTCCACCTAGAAAAAGTAAGTTAGTAAAGAAACGTTACTTTACCAACTTGTTACTAGATAAAGCTACTATAGCTATAGATAATTACTAACTAGTTACTATCTAAATTTAAAATCTAAACTTACTATCTAGTTACTACCTAGTTACTACCTAGTTACTACCTAGTTACTACCTAGTTACTACCTAGTTACTACCTAGTTACTACCTAGTTACTACCTAGTTACTACCTAGTTACTACCTAGTTATTTTACTAGCTTGTTACTAGATAGTTATAGTATTTAATTACTAGCTGGTTATTCTACTTACTGCTAAGTTACTAGCCTCTTTAGAACTTAATTATTAGTTAATGTTACTACTTACTTTTAACTAGTTTCTTCCTACTTAGTATCTGAATTCTTAGCTTAAATTTACTATCTAAAGCAAGTTACTAGCTTAAATTTACTAAACAGTTATAGCTTATAGTAACTGTTGTGTATACAGTAAGAAAAGTACCATGGTAGTCATAGGAAAGCATGCGTTACGCATAAGTTTGTCTCACTGGCACTCAAGGGCTGTGACTACCATGGAACTTTTCTGACTGTATATATTACAGATGTTCCGGGATATTTTGGAGATATTCTATGAATAAATTTTTATTCTGAGAGATGTAAATATTTCTAAATAAACCTAATTTTTAACTATTTCGACTACTGGATTGTTACGTTTTTTAAAATTAACTTCCTTTTGATTCTTTCACTTATTTACTATGTGAATTTTTGTGTTGAAAAAAATGTGCCCACAAAGGAGTTAAGAAAATGAAAAGATGGCGGAATGTAATATCCGCGCTCACGAAGAACATTCGTGTGGTGTTTGGGTTTTAAATCCGCACTCAAAAAGGGCCGAGTGCCACGATGGCTATAAGGGCAAAGAAGCTTTTTGTGAGAGAGGGGTGGGAGGGGGTTGAGAATAGCACGAGGGTTCGAGCTGTGAAGGGTCGGAGCGCAGTTCTGCGAGTGGGAGAGAGAGTCGATGTAGAAGGGGAATCCCACAGAAACCAGTCGTATCCCGGCCTCAGGTCGCATTGCCTGCGCGTTGGGTGTTTAGTCTTTAGGCGAAAGTCGTAACGTACGGTTTAGCCTGTCTGTCACGGTTTTTCTAACCATTTAATCGGAGTAGAATTTAATGTTCCGAAAAAACGATAACCTTTTGTCAATCGCGAAATTCAATCAATTTCACTTTTTCTTCAAATCTCCTGAGGAACCATTTGGACACTATTTTTGCCGAAACATTTGTTGAGAACAAGAAATCGTTTGTCATCTCTTGTTTGTTAGTGGATTATTTGGATTGCATTTGTGGATTTGCATTATTTGGAATATATATATAGTGATTTTGGATTATTACAAGTGTTAAAAAGTGGAAATTAAGTGAAAACTTGAGAGAGGAGTTTACTAATTCGTGAGGACACACGTAGAATGCAAAGTGGAATTTAAATTGGACGCTTGTCCAACACGAGGGACAAGTGCATAGTGAAGTGAGTGACAGAGTGAGTGCTTGTCAGTACTGTGTGTTTGGAGGTTCATTTCTTAAGGAACATCAGTGCTCTGTTGGAGACGTTAACCCTGGAAAAAAAAGTACCGATAAACCAGAAAGCGTCGCGTCGCGAGTGGTAAGTTTCTTGTGATTTTCTTCTTTGAAAGATGTGACCGAGAGGAGATAAGCCTCTTTTTTACCAGAGAATTTCCCTAATTTTAATTTTAGAAGTCATTCCACTTTAAATATAGCATTTTTTGAAAATGCTTATATTTCTCTAATCGTAAAAATCTCGTTTCAGTATTGTTTGTGTCGTGTTTCGATATTGCTCGCTTGTTTCAATGTTCTTTGGGTGTTGTTACTGATTGTCATCAATGGAACAGAATCACGCAAATTCTGATCCTTTTTTCCATGTTTAGCTGTTATATTAAAATGGAGTTAAAAAGATCGTATAATCTATTTTGACGTCACTTTGTTTCGTACTAAATCCGAATGGTTTATCATTTCCCACTCGAGAGGGAATACATTATACCGTGAACATGTGTAGATGTTGAACAGTCATGTCATATGTTTTTTGGAGGTAGAGAAAAGATCCTAAAACTTCGAAACCAACCCGCTGGGAATATTGACAGGTTTTTGGACTTTCAGAAAGAATGCGACAGATGATAAAAATTGAAATTTCAGAAGATGTATCGGTTGCAGATAAAATATTTCTTCTTCGTAGCTGTAGTGCATTAGACTTTTGTAATCTTTTACCTATTTGCTTCTTCCGAACTCTTAATTTTAAATATCTAAAAGTTTTAACCATTAATATCGGTTCTACCAATAAATAGTTCATCCAGTGTTTTGTTCCTTGAATTACAAATTCCAGATACATATAACTCAGTGATGAGAATTTAGTATCTGATCATATACTTTCCATCATTTATTGCAAATTCTTTGGAAAAAATATAGCGTGTCAGTTAATCTATAAAGAAGATAATACAACAATAGCAAAGCAATCAAATTGCCATTTGCACGCACAATTTAGTAAATGATTAATGTACTTTTCTCTTTCAGATGCTCGACATCAAATAGAAAATTTCCCTGAAAAAAGTTTTATAATGTAAACATTATTTTATTGGTAACTGTTTGCATATATATTTTATGGATCTTTTGTAAATAGCTGTATACATACAGAATGTGTTTCTTTTTTAAAAGTCAGATTCATTGGATTCACTACAATTCTGAAATGCACCAGGCGTTTCGGAAACGTTCATAAAACATCTCTCGAGGTCACTGAATGTCCCTCTTGCTAAGTTTTCCCTGCCTCCGACCACAGTGTTTGAAAGTCGGTGGTTGAGACTTTGACAACACACGGCCGGCCTTTTCTTTGCCTTGAGCTCCCACTCTTGAATTGGTGAAAAGGTATTGAGACTTCCAAGCATCTTTTCAAAAACCTTCAACTCATGGAGATCGTAAACAATGTGAAATTGCATAGCCGACAGCAAATCTATTATCCGAATAATGGGGGATGTGCACGTTCAGACGTTACTCGCATGACGGAAAGGTATCGGACGATTATATGTATATGTGTTTCTGAGTGTGTTCGTTGACTCGCAGCAATTTTAAAGGCCTTCAAAAGAAAATAAAAAAAAATTCTTTCGTTATATATGAAAGAATTATTCCGCTATATATTGCCAGCCTGTCATATTCAGTTATTCGTCAATAGTTTTTCCTCATGTAAAATATAATTATGGCAAACAAATTGACAGTTCAAAGCGAATAACTTCCGGCATATGTCAATTTTCCAAATTTTCAAATTATATTGCAATTCACGTTGACTGACAACAAAAACGGAAATTTTGAAACCAAATTCAAAATATGTCACGTGGATTAAATGTTTATTTCTGATGACAGTTTTTAAAATTGATTTTCATGAAAAGTTTTTAATAAGAAGTTAAAAGCTTCTTTTTTGTTTCTTTAGCTTTTAAAAATGATCGATGCCTTATTTTTCGCAACAGGTAGACATTTCTCGTTCCTAGTTGTAGTCATGTTTGTGCCTCACTATATATAAGAAATAGAATGTAACAAATGACTACACGACCATTAGCTAACGTTACATTTATCGATTTGATTAGTTGCCCGTCGAAGAAATTCCTTGTTCTACAAATATTTAGTCATTAGATACGACACACCGTATTTCTTCTAAAAAGATGTAAATAAATCGTTTTCAATCGTGTTAAAATTATAATACATTAATTACAAACGAGAAGAAAAAAGATATCTTCATAAATTAATTAAGTATTAGAATCATAATATTTTATACTTAATTATAGGATTAAAATAAATTGCTCTTACAAAATCGTTTCATCATCCTATAAAATTTATTTTCATAAATGCGTCACTTATAAAAATTATTAACTGAAGATTTAGTTTTGCTTAGAGAATAAATTTTTAATAGAAATAATTGAATTAGTAAAAGTTAAGGAAAATAAAATAAAGAATAATTGAAATAAATTTTTTGATCATGTAAAATCAGTTTTGCTCTGATAATTCGATAATGTTTTTAATCTCTTTTTAATTTATTAGGGAATTAATATTTGATCGATAAGACGTCGAACGAAACAGCGTTAATTCCTTATAGCGAAGACTCTCATGTCATCGACATGAAAGCATATTTATATATTCTGAAGAGCGCGCAAAAATAAAAGTAGAAAAAAAATTGAAAAACGTGGGTTGATGTGAGCTTTATAGCTCAGTGATTCGATCGAAATCTTGCTCGCGAGACGAATAACGATGAATAATAATTGTCTGGTATTATCGTAATATGTGCGTGCAATCAAAACGGTCGCGAAGTCATTCCCGGATGAAAACCGGTAAATCAGGTTGCTTCTGATATCGTTGGAATCGATTAGAAGGTTCACGAGTGCGTTTGTAAATACTTCTCAGGACTATAGACCTGGAAAAGTATCGAGACGACGACGACGACGACGATCCTTCTCTTGAACATCGTCACGTCCATTTCCTTTTTTTTCATCTTCCTTTTATGTGTGTGTGTGTGTGTGTGTGTATGCCACTCCCGGGTGATTTCATTTAATGATTTCGAAGTAAAACGCACGCACTAAGACTCTACAGGCGCACCTAAGACACTTTTAGAACGTATCGATTTATGAGCTCGACTATTTATTCACTTGCTCAACAAGAAAATTTAGAAAACTTCTTTACTGACCTTCATTATGGGAAATATAGAATTAACGCTGATAGTTAATTATTTCTTCTCTTTAAAAGACATTTTATCAGCTTTTATTGTCCGACAAAACATGCTTTTATTCTTCTCAAAATTGTTTAGTTTATTATAAAACAAATAATATACATATTATTTCTGTATTTCAAATAAATTTATTTGATAAGTCAAGTAAACGATTATTTGAATCAAATAAATTTTCTTTTTAGTTTGCCTTTTGTGATAACTTTAAGCGATGCCAATAAATGGAAATTGATAAAAGAAATCGAATTTCCCATTACTTTTTAGAAGATCATTTTTGGAGAATCACAAATATAGAAATGTCTTAAGACATTGAGAAACTTACTTTTTTCAATTATTGTCTTTGTATATAGGTGTTTTGAAAGCAAAACGTAAAATTTGACGATGAAAAGAGACAAAGAAAACCGACAAAAAAGCAGGGGTCATGTTTGTTGCGCGTATCAAATTGAACCATTCTTTGGGATTTATTGGCAATTAATAAGCGTTCAGCGTCGATTGATCAATAAATGTGACATATATATGTTAACACACAGTATGTGTTTATTGATACCAGACAACAAAAGTAAGACGATGATTTAGAATTAATTCTGTAATAGTTGATCATCTTTTATGTAACTGAATTCAGTAAAAATCCTTTCTTACGAGACTCTATTTATATAACCACACTATAAAGAATGTCAATCATTCCATCAACTTTTATCTTCTTCTCTAGTCGTTTTGAAATAAAAATGATTTCTAAATGCTTGAAGGCAGATAAAAGTTACAGAACACTTATTTTATTGGCCTTAAGTAATAATAGAATCAATAATAATTATCACTTAATAAACTAATGTCTTTTATTTTAGTCGTTCACTTTTAATTTATTAATGCATGGAACTATTTTGAAATTCGTAAACAATTTTAGTATTTTTAAATTATAAATTCAAAGTAAGGAATTACTTTTTTATTTTAAATTCGAAATTGATTGTCGGGTAAATATTTGTCATTCCACTAATAAAAGTTTTACTTTTGTCACGATGGTAAAATTTAAAAGAGTTTCTTCTTCTGGAAAATTGTCTCAAAAATAAATATAAATCAAGGAAGGAAAAAGTCAAATTGAAATTGGATTTGTGTTATACGTTAAATATTTGTTCAGAGGGACATTGTTGGGCATATTATTTGGGTGTTTAAAACGTCTCCATGGTTGAGCTCGTGGGTGGAATTTGAAAGCATTCAGGTGTCTACCTAATCCAATAGTATATATATATATATATAACAAACGGTCCCAAGGGTCGGTGGACCGAGAGAGATTCTGGTATATTTATGGATCGGATTCATAGCACAATATACGAATGGTATTCTAGGTAATATTGACGCCTGGTCGAGCGGATGATTCTTATAAAGTGCTATAAACACAATAACGTTTCTCGCGACGACATCGCGGCGAGACAAAATTAAGAGCATTGTCATGTCGTAAAGCGGAAATAAGAAAAGTTGAGATAAAACTCAACGGCGAGTTGCTTCTTTCCTAAGGCAAACTTTAGTCTCGGTTTTAGATATAAAAACAGCAAGTTGTGATTTGTAAATCTTTGAGATGCGGCCACAGCTTCGAAACTTGAAGGGATAAAAAAAAGTCCTTGAAATATAATGTAAAAATAACACCCTTACAAAATCCGATTCAGTGGCACTTTCAAGAGAAAGTCCTTCGTCCAACACACTGGTGGGTTTAAAGTTGGACGCAATTTCCATAAGTTAAAATATGGCTTCTTCACAAAGTGAGAAAAGATCGTTTTGGTATAGGGAAAGGAAGTCGGTAGCACAAAACGAGATGCTGTCTATGGACCATTGCTCTCGGGTCCGGGAATCTTAACCGCATATCTGCTTTAAGTTTCGGAGGTATTCGTTTCTTT